CATTGCACTCCAGCCTGGGTAACAAGAGCGAAACTCCGCCTCAAAAAAAAAAGATACCAGGATTTTAGCCTATCACTAATACTAACAATTATGAGATGGGGCACAATTTGATGAATCTACCAGCTCAGATGTCCACTCTTTGGTATAAGTTTCTAGGACCCAGAAAGAATAAAAACAACCCCAGACACTTTTCTAAGGAAGAAGAAATAAAGCTCTTACCAAAAACTAAACCAAGATTTTAACCAGAACAAATTTCTATGCCTTAATATTATGTTTGTAGAGGGAAGCAGAGTGAGAAATCAACTTCATGCCAAACAGCACATAAGAACACTTAGAATATCTGCTCTGAGTAGCTGCCAAGCTCATGCAAATCTTTGTCAACAAGATTTTCTCCAAGTAGTAAACATAAAAGCTCTTCAACTTAAAAAAAAAAAAAAAGTACAGAAACAAAGTATGCTATAGAAATAAATGCAATACTTTACTATTTGTCAAAATTAAAAATGCATATACCTCTGAAGCCTTGGCAGTTCCATTCCCAAGATTACACTCATATACTTGCAAATGTGCAAAATAAACTACATACAAATATTGTTACTGCATCATTAGTTGTAACAGAAAAAATTCAGAACAAAACCAAATGCTCATCAAAAGGCAACAAGTTATATAAGTTCGGTGTACCCTTAAAACAAACATTATGTTCTGTTTTCACTCAGTCATTAAAAATGACACAACAGTCACAAAACAGCAAATATTACATGATTCTATTTATATGAAATGTCAAGAATATGCAAATCTGTAGACACAGTAGTTTAGTGGTTGCCAAAACCTGGGGAGACTGGAAAGAAATAGAGAATGAATGCTAACGGAGTTAGGATTTCTTTAAGGATAACAAAAATGTTATAAAATTTACTGTGGTGAAGACTGAACAATTCTGTGACTATACTAAAACCACTGAATTGTACACTTTAAATGGGTATGGTATGTGAATTTTATTTCCACAAAGCTTTATTTTAAAAAGTGAAGCAGTTGGCTGGGCGGCACAGTGGCTCATGCCTGTAATACCAGCACTTTGGGAGGCCAAGGGGGGTGAATCACCTGAAGTAAGGAGTCCGAGACTAGCCTGGCCAACATGGTGAAACCCCATCTCTACTAAAAATACGAACATTAGCCAGGTGTGGTGGTTCATGCCTGCAATCCCAGCTACTTGGGAGGCTGAGGCAGGAGAATTGCTTGAACCCAGGAGGCAGAGTTTGCAGTAAGCCAAGATTGTGTCACTAAACTCCAGCCTGGGTGACAGATTGAGTACAGGTCTCAAAAAAAAAAAAAAAAAAAAAAAAAGTAAAGCAGCTCTATATGGAATAACACAGAAACATCACCAAGGTATATTGTTCTATGAATAAAGGAAGACACAGAACACTGTGAACTATACAACATAATTTGTTTTGTTTTTTTTTTTCATTTTTATTTTTTTTTTTGAGACAGTCTCATATGGTCACCCAGACTGTCGTGCAGTGGCGTGATCTCAGCTCACTGCAATCTCCACCTCCTGGGTTCAAGCAATTCTCCTGCCTCAACCTCCCGAGTAGCTGGGACTATAGGCATGTGCCACAAAGCCCAGCTAATTTTTTTTTTTTGTATTTTTAGTAGAGACAGGGTTTTACCATGTTGGCCAAGATGGTCTCCATCTCCTGACTTTGTGATCCACCTGCTTCAGCCTCCCAAAGTGCTGGGATTACAAGCGTGAGTCACCTCACCCAGCCTATAATTTGTGTTTTCTTACACACATGCCCAGCAAGCTTTATTGGCTTATATATGAAATACAAAAGAAATTATGTAGTTAACAGTTACTTTTAAGTAACTGAATGTCCAGAGGAGAAAAGACGTCCTTCACTCTATCCATTTTTGTACTTTTGAATTTTGTACAATATGTATTACCTATCCAAAATATATATTTTTAAAGTAATATAGCCAATATAGGTTCATTTTATCAAATACTGTTTCTAATATTCAACATTTTCCATCAGTAAGATTTACCATGATCAACAGTTTATTTTATATTTAAAGTAATAGCAAAGATTAGCAGCTATTAATCTTTAAAAACAGTCAACAGTATTAGGCAATGAATGGCAGCCTAATTTATTATTTTCCTTGTTCCTTGCTTTTCCTGTTTAATTTGCTTTTAAGCTGTTTTCCTGCTAATTGGAAACTCCATTTGAAGGTGACCAGGAAACTGACATAAAAGGATACATATTCGTTAACTCCGGTGTTTGTTAGCTCTGTTACAAGATCTGTTGAAGAACCTGGTTGAAATTACTATTTAAAACAAAGTTGGTAAATAATTCACAGAATGGTTTGATTCTACTATTTCAAGCTGCACTTTGCTTCTGACCAATGATGCATATTCATACCATCAGACCTGCCAAATATACATAAAGGCCATCCTATTAAATGGCCACATTTTCAGCTACAGGTTTTTATCTGTAGTATAAATTGCACTGGAAATCCAAAATATATAAATATATATTATGCTCCATGAAGACTGTATGCTCAACAAAAAAAGATAAGTGATAAATAAAACCACCACTTAAAAAAAAAAAAAAAAAAAGACTGCACTGGAAAGTAAGATCTTTAAGAAAGAGACCACTACAACCACACTTCCGTAACAATCTTAAAACTTCCCTTAGTGTGCAAACTGGATTCCCACTATCTAGTCTACTGCCTTGACAATGATTCACTCTAATCTAGACAAAATTAAGCATTCCTTCCCTCTTCAACATTTCCGTAGCACCATATATGTACCTCTGTTATATATTTATCAGATAGCATTGCAATTATTTGTTTACATGTCAGTCTTTTTCACTATACTAGCTCCTTGTGCAGGAGCTTATTCATTCTTGTAATTTGGGGAGCTGGCCCAGCCGCTGCACGTAGGAGACATGCCAGAAAGTTGGCTGCATGTGTTATTGTTAGCTAAGAACACTCGCATTTCCCCTAAACCATTCAGCTTTTAAATGATCATGAACGAAAATTAACCCTTCATTACCCACAGTATTCCAATCCTGAAAAGAGAAGGAAGCAAATACATGTAGTCCCAAACCACAAATAATTTATTCCACAGATGGTTCATCTAGGCTAACGCTAAAATCAGTCAGCTTGCATAAAGCATACACAAATAGAAAACAGCGCTAAGACAACGACAATGCTGCTTTTGGAGTTTTTTCTCTCTCCCCCACCCCCAGAAAATAGATGTATCTGAACCACAGTCACTTATTACACATTCACGGATTTAGAATGTCTGAATGTAGCCAGTCACTGCGTCAAAAAATAAATAAAGGTAAAAAATGAATTGGGATAAAGACACAATATAGACCAAAAGGGCTAACAGGACATTTTGGTAAATCCCTGATACCCGCTGGCTCAGCTTCAGTGCCAAAGCAAACACCAACTGTAAGGTCCAAGCTGGAGCCACTAGTGACTGGAAAGGGAAGGGTGGCCAAGGCCTACTTCAGCCCTCCCTTCTTACAAACCACCAGCAAAGCAAAAGAAAGTGCCTCTTCTTATATAGGTGATTAATTCTTAAGTACCTACAGTAGGTAAGGACAAAGATTCCATGGCTAACTGGTAGAAGTATATAAAAACATTTGTGTTACTCAAAAACCATATAAATATCTAATCAAAATTTCTAGCACACTAGCTAATTCGTGATAATGTATTTTTGAGTTTTAGCACCTTTTTACTACCCTCTGCATTAATCCAGGCAATTTGATCAACTAGTAACCTGACTAAATGCAAATAATAGAAAAGTAAAAATTAGGAAAACGGAAGGTTCAAGATAGTTTAGACAGACCATAGCAGTAAAAGGAGAAACCTGTCTAAAGTTTGTGTGATGGTATAAAGGATATCTAAAAAGAAATTTTTTATTTATTTTTACAGAGATAGGGTCTCGCTCTGTCACCTAGGCTGGAATGCAATGGCATAATCATAGCTCATCACAACCTCCAACTCCTGGGCTCAAGCAATCCTCCTGCTTTAGCTTCCCAAGTAGCTGGGACTACAGGTGTGTACCACCATGCCCAGCTGATTTTTTTCTTCAGTACAGAGAGCATCTTGCTATGTTGCTCAGGCTGATCTGGAACTCCAGGCCTCACAATACTCCTGTCTCAGCCTCCCACATAGCTGGGATTACAGGAATAAGCTATCACACCTGGCAGGACATTATTTTTAAGCTTCCATTAGATGGAAATCAAGACAAAGCTTTTAGTAACAGTTCTTCCATAAACTAGCTGTGTAACGTTAGGCAAGTCACTCTGAATCCCAGGTACGGTTTTCTAATCTACAGGAACGACTGGAAAAAATAGCTAAGACTCTCTCCACCTTAAGCTATTCCATTAGCACAAAATTTAAAATTAAAGGTTCCTGCGGTTTGGATGTTTGTCCCCTCCAAACCCCATGCTGGACTGTGATTTCCAACGTAGGAGGTGGGCCTGGTGGGAGGCGTCTGTGTCATGGAGGCGGATCCCTCATGAATAGCTTGGTGCCCTCCACATGGTAAGAAATGAGTTCTCACTGTTAGTTCACGCCAGAGCTGGCTGTTGAAAAGAGCCTGGCACCTCCTTTTTCTCTTGCTTCTGCTATCCTCATATGACTTGCCTGCTGCCTCTTTACCTTCTGACATGATTGAAAGAAACCTTCCTGGGCCCCACCAGAAGCTGAGAAGATGCTGGCGCCATATTTGCACAGCCTGCACACCCGAGAGCCAAATAAGCCTCTTTTCTTTATGAATTACCTCAAGATAGTCTTTATAGCAACACCAACACACTAACACAAAGACTTTATATATGATATGAGGTACAAGAAATTTTTTTGAGTCCCCCAGTTCATTATTTGATTCTTTCACAATCATTTTACAAACTATTCTACCCAAATGTCCATCACTAATTTTCCAAATAATGGCTTTGCTATAAAATAATAATCATAAGCAAGTTAAAGTTTTCACTAACCTGGTGCAACTACATTCACTCTAATTTTCTTTCTTGCTACCTCTTTAGCAAGAGCACGTGAAAATCCAATTAATCCTCCTTTACTGGCACTGTAAACAGACTGGCCAGAATTGCCTTTTAAGCCAACAATGCTTCCTAGAACAAAAAAAAAACAAAAAGCAAATTAAATTCAATTAATGAGATTACTTGAAAATCCAGACAATTTATAGTAAATGAACAAAAAGGTACAATCCACTTCACCTTGTCCTTCGTTAAAATTAGAAATTCTAACCATTGTCATCAGTCGTTTATCAAAGATTTAAAAGTCCAGGTCTGCTCCAGATTTACATACAGAAAATAGCAGCTGAAAGCAGCTGACATAAAACTGCCAATGCCAGGCAGGTGCTTGCAAATTGATCCATTATGTGAAAGGGACCCACTCTAACCTCTGAGTAGGTCACATATGATTAAAATTCTGTGGTATTTATAAAGGCTTCCAGCAGGCAGAGGTTAAAGCCAGAAAAAGTCAGACAAACACTGAGGCTGATTAATTTTATGATTCTACAACACAGACATAGGCAGAAAGTTCTCATTTTCATCTTAAAAACTAGTTCATTTGAAGACAAATCTCACTAAAATTGAATTATGTGCATACCTCATTTGTTTTGCTGTATTATGCGTTGCAGATTCTGCATTTTTAATTTTTTTGAACAAATCGAAGGTTTGTAGCAACCCTGCATCAAGCAATTCTATTAGCACTTTTCCAACAGCATGGCTCACTGTGAGCAGCGCTCACTGTGTCTCTTTGTCTCATTTTGGTAATTTTCAAACCATCTTAAACGTTTTCATTATCATATCCGTTACAATGATCTGTGGTCAGTAATTCTTAATGTTTACTGCTGTTGGGCTGCCACAAAGTATTACTGCTCATTGACAATGCATTTGGTCACCAAAGAGCTCTGATGGAGATGTACAAGGGGATTAATGTTGTTTTTTGTGCCTGTTAATACAGTATCCTTTCTTCAGCTCATGGATCAAGGGGTAATTCTGACTTTCAAGTCTTATTTAAGAAACATTTTACAAGTCTATAGCAGCCATAAATAGTCATTCCTCTTATGAATCTGGGTAACGTAAACCGAAAACCTTCTGGAAAGGATTCACCATACTATTTGCCATTCAGAACATTTATGATTCATGGCAGGAGGTCGAAATATCAACATTAACAGAGTTTGAAAGAAGTTACTTCAGCCCTCACGGATGACTTTGCAGGGTTCAAGACGTTAGTGGAGCAGAATTGCAAGTGGAGTCTGAAGACGTGACTGAATTGCTGCAATCTCATGATAAAACAAATGGGTGAGGAGTTGCTTCTTATGTGTGGATAAACAAAGTTGTTTCTCAAGGTGGAATCTACGCCCTGTGAAGATGTGAATACTGTTGAAATGACAAAGGATTTAGAATATCCTATAAATTTAGTTGATAAAACAATAGCAGGGACTGAGAGGACTGGCTCCAATATTTAAAGTTCTACTTGCATAAAATGGTATTAAACAGCTACAGAGAAATCTTTCAGGAAATGAAGAGTCAATCAATGTGGGAATTGTTGTCTTATCTTAAGAAATTGCCATGGCCACCCCAACTTTCAGCAACCAAAACTATTATCAGTCAGCAGCCACCAACATCAAGGCAAGACCTTCCACCAGGAAAAAGATTATGACTTGCTGAAAGCTCAGATGATCATTAGCATTTTTTAGCAATGAAGTATTTATTGGCAACAAAGTATTTACATTGTTTTTTAGACAAAACGCTACTGCATACTTAACAGACCTTATCTTTTACATGCACTGAGAAACTGAACAATTTGTGTGACTTACATTATTTAGATATTTGCTTTATTCTGGTAGAGTAGAACCAAAGCTGCAATAACTGTGAGATATACTTGTACTGTCAATCTAAACTGCCAAAGCTTCAATTATAAACATTTTGTAAAACTGCAATTTCATTATATTCAGCATAAGGAGAACTGATGGGTTTTTTAAATATACCTTAAAAAAGAACATTTTAGAGTTAAATAAATACACCTCAGGTTATCAGGTACAATTGTAAATTGTACTGCCCACAGAATATTCTTGAGTGACCACATCTAATGAATATGTAGGGACATAAATGAATCTGGAAACCATCATTCTCAGCAAACTGACACAAGAACAGAAAAACGCTGCATGTTCTCACTCATAGGTGAGTGTTGAACAGTGAGAACATGTGGACACAGAGAGGGGAGCAACACATGCTGAGGTCTGTTGGTGGGGGTCAGGGGAGGGATAGTGGGAGGGAGGGTGGGGAGGGATAACGTGGGGAGAAATGTCAAGTATAGGTGATGGGGGGATGGAGGCAGCAAACCACCTTGCCATGCAGGTACCGGCCAATAGGGATGTAAATGTGTGATTCCTATTTTACTAATTAATCAAGTAATTCAATCATTTTTTTCCATAGATAATAGAAATTTCACCCAAGTTTCACAAGTGAATAAACTACAAATTAGTGCATTAAATATCTGTATGGTATTATGGGATAATTATAAATTCACAAAGGTGAAGACTCACCTACATTAACTATAGACCCTCCCTGTTGTTGAATCATAGTCCTCACGGCAGCTTTACAGGTCAGCATGGAACCCAAGAGGTTGGTATGAAGCTGAGATACCATATCTTCAGTTTTTGTTCTTACTAAAAGACTATCCCTACAAAAAGAAACGGTACATAACAGCATATAACAACAAGATAAAACAAACCCAAAAGGTCAAAACTAAGATAACATTTCTACTGAAAGTAGGGTGCAAGAAGTACTTCCTATCTGAGCTAGAGTAAGTAGAATACCTAGAGTCCCATTTTGAACTTGGTTTGAGATGCATTAAATAACAATTGATAAACCAGAAAGGATGCACTTGGAAGACAGGTTCCTACCCTTCTCAGCTTGAGTGGCAAATATTCTTAGCCCCTGAAAGTATTACCGTGTAGCCAAAATAGTTTGAATGACCTGAGCAACTGCCACACTAAGCCTTGTTTAGCAAGAAAATGTTATTCTAAATATTATCTCCTAAATTCATTTTTTTAAAAGTAATATCCACTCCATTACTCTATTAGTATTAAGTTCACAAACTGGCAAAACTTATATATGGTGACAAAATTCAGAAAATAGTTACCTACAAGGAAGTATTATTAATTGAGAAGGCACTGCCTTCTGGAGCACTGGAAACCTTCTACAGCTCAATATGGGTGATGATTACAATGTTAAACCAATTAAATTGGACATTTATTATATGTTGTATCTCAATATAAAAGAAAAGAATTTATGCCGGGCATGGTGGCTCATTCCTGGGAGGCAAGGCGGAAGGATCACCTGAGGTCGGGAGTTCCAGACCAGCCTGATCAACAAGGAGAAACCCCACCTCTACTAATAAAAATACAAAATTAGCTGGACGTGGTGGCTCATGCCTGTAGTCCCAGCTACTCAGGAGGCTGAGGCAAGAAAATCGCTTGAACCCAGTAGGCAGAGGATGCGGTGACCCGAGATGGTGCCATTGCACTCCAGCCTGGGCAACAACAGCGAAACACCATCACAAAAATAAACAAAAAATAAATTTGCCAGGTGCAGTGGCTCACACCTGTAATCCTAGCACTTTGGGAGACTGGGGCAGGCAGATCACAAGTTCAGGAAATCGAGACCATCCTGACCAACATGGTGAAAACCCTGTCTCTCCTAAAATACAAAAAACTAGCTGGGCGTGGTGGCATGCACCTGTAGTCCCAGCACTCAGGAGGCTGAGGCAGGAGAACTGCTTGAACTTGGGAGGTGGAGGCTGCAGTGAGCCAAGATCCGCCACTGCATTCCAGCCTGGGGACAGAGCGAGACTCCGTCTCAAAAAAAAAAAAAAAATTATGGACTGACAAGTTTTAAAATACATAGTTTTTTCTCCCAGTTAGAAGTATAATAATATATTAACTTATACTAATCAAAGACATATTACAAGTTTTTAAAATATAAATTTACTTAAATCTGTGACCAACCTGTTAATACCAGCCGCATTTACCAAGAAATTTACTCGCCCTAAGTATTTCTCCATCTCTTCAAATGTATTTTGAACATCATGTTCTTTAGCAACATCACAGCTAAATGCCAAATGATCTCCTACACAACAAAGTTAAATAACAATTACTTATGACTTATAACTCAAATTTTCAATTTACTCAATACACGTGTTAAGCATCTAAGATGGTAGGCCCGTGCTAATCTAGAACCTAGAAATTAACAAGTCATGTCATGAGGCCCGGCTTTCACAGAGTTGGCCTCATGAAACTAGGATTGGGGAGCAAGAGGAAATAAAGTACCACTACAGAAAGTTAATTTTAAAACTTTCTTTTTAATCAACAAAGAGGGCAGGGCTTTTTCAAGTTATAAAGGCTCTGTAAGATTCATCTAATAATATTTCCAGTTTTAACACGGAAGTCATGCTTCCCAATTCAACAGTCTTCTGGGTTTTACATTCCTTTTTTCAAGTTTATATCTAATTCTGTCAGGTTTTCGTTGAATTAGTTTCTCTGGCCAGGAACTCCAGAGTTTCTTCTTCTTTTTAAGAGCTACGGATACACTATGGCACATAAAGTATAATGACTATTTTTTTAAAACCTCACCATCAAGAAACATGAGATAACACTGGAAGCTGTAAAAACTACAAACCATTGGAGGGGAATAACACTTTTTACAAAAACAACTGTTACTTACCACTTTTAAAAAATGGTTAAATGCCAAAAAAACAAACAAACAAAAAAAAAAACCTACACTTCAAAGGAAAATAAAGCATTCCCTATGTAATAATCTACCATTTTAATACCCTAAAATGTAGAATTGGATTTAAGAGCTAAAAAAAATTGCTTTTCTGTTTGACCTTGACAAACATATCTACACTACATTACCCTATCAAGCCTTTGGAAACAGTAAGTGACCTGGGAAATTATACTTTCTAGATGAAAACCAATCATTCATGGAACACGATTCAAAGGAATGCAGGGCCCAAAAGCAGCCTGTGTGTGTCTCTCTCTCGGTTTTCACCTGAAGACTCGCTGATTTCACAACCACCTATTGTTGAAGCTCAACTAATGGCTTCAATCTAGTCCAGCAAACACTGATGGCTTGGAGTGACTCAGTAAGGGTCACCATTTTTCCCCTTTGTTGAATGGCAAGAAACATGAGCTTCAAGAAGCATTCACTGACACTCTTCCTGAGCTGTAACTTACAGGATTTTTTTTCTTTTAGAGATCCCAATATTCTCCCAACCAACAGTGAATAGGTGATACCAAACCAATCAGTAAGGTTAACTGAAAAACTAACAGCCACACCTGGCACCTATAGTTCCCCAGCTGCTTGGGAGGCTGAGGTGAAATCTAGAGCCCAGTAAATCAGGAGCTGGGAGTCCAGTCCAGGAAACATAATGAGAAGAGCTCTCAAAAATAACATTTAAAACCCACACACAAAAACAGTAAGAGCCACAAGATGCATCCGCAGGACTCTATTCTCCCCATGCCTCCAGGAGAGTAAATGAAGTTATGTCCATTTTAGTAACTAAACAAATAGCATCTTCGGATCTAATGTCCTATTTCTCCCTAACCTCAAGGAAGAATTAAATTCACGAAATGACTAAACCATTATTAATAAGCCAGAAAAAAGAAAAAAAAACAAAACCTGAAGTTTAAATGCAATAAAAAAAGAATTTCGCAGAACAAAGTTCAACTGTCCACTGGCAAAAGTGACCAAATTTGCCAACATTAAAGTAAACCAGGTAAATGTCAACACTGGCTGGAACTCAGAAGGGTCTCTCTCTGAAACTGCTTTGTGCATTCGCACAAGCCCAGGCACGGCCCTCGTTAATGCCGAGGGAACCGTTGACACCTGGCACTGCCCTCACCTGCCCGAACCCTTTTCCGCGCAGCTCTGCCTCCGGCGACAGGAATGCGCCCTTTCCCTAAATCCAAGCTGTCCTGCGGCGCTCTCCCGCCAGACAGCAACACGGGGCAGCTCCTCGCGGTGAGCGCAAGCCGCAGGGGAATGCTTATTGGCTTATTCGCGGGGCCTCACGAGACCACGAGGTCTCAAAGAGAACCCCGAGCGCCCAGCCCTCCGCGCGCTGCGCGGCCGACGTTCCGGAGGCCCCCGGAGGTCGGGGTTCCGGCCCCAGGCGCGTTCCACGCTGCGGACGGCGAGCGCCCGCACGCGGCTTGCGGAGACACCTCCGAGCCCGAAAGCCCAGGCTCGCTCGCTTTTCACAAAGCCGATTTTCTCTGGGCTCCCGGAACACGGCCATACAGCCGGACAACTCCAGTTCGGTACCTACCGCCGAGGTTACCGGCGGCGGCTTTGGCCCCTTCCAGGTTTCTGGCAATGACCGCCAGTCGGTAGCCTTTCCGGGCCATTAACTGGGCCACGGCCCTGCCAATGCCGCGGGAGCCTCCGAAAACGGCACACACTTTGTCCATCTCGGACTCAAAAACTCGGAGGAGAGAGAGAAGGGAGAGGCGGCTCCGTGCCAGGTTCCACCAGCTTTTAAACAAAAAACAACAAAGGCAAACTGCAAAGGAAAAACGGGCCGCTCGACACCTCCTCCTGCGGCCGGACTCTGGCAACGCAGGAGGCAGCGGAGACGGGCGAGGAGTCCCGGCGGCGCTGCGCCGACGTCATCACGCACTGACTCTGCCGACGTCATTACGCACCGACTCTTCGGGCCGCGCCTAAAGAGCACGGCCGCGAGACCTACCGGCCGGCGGAAGAATGGCCCGGAGGGGGTTTCGATGCATGCTGGGACCTGTAGTCTTGACGCAGGAAAGTAACTGGCGCAGGCGCGCTGCTTGGTGGGAAAAACACTTGTGGCACAGAGGGGAACCCTCTGGACCCGCTGGGTCTTCAGTCGGGGATTGGAGCCCCAGGGATCAATGGACCCGGTTTGTTCGGAACTGATAGGGTTCTCAAGACGCTGAGCTTTCCCTGGGAAACCAAGACGACTTGACCACGTAGTTAGAACCCAGAACAAGCACTCCGGGCTCCGGTGTGTGCCCTTCGCCTAGGTGTTGTTTTGGCTACAGACTTGATGTCTTGTTGAAGAAGTCCCCAAGTATCGCACCCACACCAGAACCTACCCTACCTGTTTCTCCCCCAGGATGCTGCAGGAACGGACCTCTACCCGCCCAGATGTTAGCACTCACCGCGAAGGGCGGCGTGCAGGTGAACGCCCTGTCGAACATCCAGCAGGAGGTCAAGGAATTCTAATCGATTGAATAGTCTTTCCAGATCTACGAAACAAGCTTAGGCTGCTGTAGACAAACAAAAATGGGTTTCTGCAATTCTAAATAAGATGTGCTGGGTGCTCTGAGAGTTAATAAACTAAAAAAAAAAAAAAAAAAAAAATCCATGTTTGTTACAATTACAGTGTAAAAAGAAAGCATTTCTCGATAAAACATTATTTTACTAGATGATTCAGAGAAGTATGAACCATGGTCCCTACCACTAAAAAAACTACAGCCCAGAACTACGGACTAATACACATGGAACACTAGGAGGTATCCGAAATCATACTTAGTTAAGTGCAAAATTATATTAACACAAGAGCTCCAAGAAAATGGAGACCAGTGAAGAATGAGAGAGGCATGGAAAAGTTGGATTTGAGGGCTGGATGAGCTTTGAAAAAAGGAAAGTAAGAGCAAAGAGCCTATAAATAAGCAAGTTGAGCAATAATTTAAATATTTTATTCTTATTTCATTTAGATCCAAAGAGGATTTGAAATGGTTTGCAAAAATTCATGCGTATTTGATTTTAAAAGGCAAAGGGGACCACTGCCCCTTCTCGCACAAAGCCAGAACACTAAATTAGGTCAGTGGAAAAAGTATGAATAAAGTCATGCTGTAAGAATTCACTTAGTATTAAAGAAGAGATGCATAAACTCAGCGTTTCCTGCCAGCCAAAGCAACCAAGGAAATATAATTACAAGAGGTAATTTCTGTAAGAAATAAGCATCCCAGTTATGCAGCAGAGAAGCCTGAGCAAAACCCCTCCTCAGAGGTCGTCCTAAATGGCACACAGAGCAGTGTAGTAGACAGTGTGCTTCATGAAAAGAAACAAAGATTGTAAGGCTGTTTTTATAGCATCTATTAGACTTTATTAAAAGCAAATACAATAGGAAGTTAAACATTAGCAAACAGTCACACATAAGAAATGTGTCTTCGTATGTTTGAAACAATGAGGAAACAAGCCTGATTACAGGAAATTTGGGATGGTGCTATATTGTGATCAGCTTTAAAGCCAGGTGCCAAGCATTAAACAGAACTTCAACTGCAGAAGTAACAAGATTAGAGCTGCATTTAAGAATTAGTAGTGGTGGCTCCTGCGGGTAATCCCAGCACTTTGGGAGGCCAAGACAGGAGGGTTGCTTCCGTCCAGAAGTTCAAAACCAACCTGAGAAACGTGGCAAGATTCTCCTGATCTCTACAAAAAGCACAAAAAAAGTTAGTGGGCATGGTGACCTACTTGTGGTCCCAGCTACTCAGGAGGCTGGGTGGAAGGATGGTCAAGTTGGAAGCAAAGCCAGGAGTTCGAGGCTGTGGTGAGCCATGATTGCACCACTGCACTCCAGCCTGGGTGACAGAGCAGGACCCTGTCTCAAAATTTTTCAATTTTTCTAAAAAAAAAAAAATCAAACACTAGTTTCCCAGTGATGTAAAAATGGGTCTGATCAAATCTGTCTATTCACTTTCCTACTATACACAATGTAATCTTGGAAAGAAAAACTGTTTTAGACAAATTACCAATATATGGGTCAGCCTAAATGCCAATTGTATTTCTGTACCTTAGGTCAAACCAGAGAGGTTCATCTTTGTGAACAGTTCCCTCCATTTTATAGGAAAAGGGTCTGTTTTTTTTCTACACGTTGTTATTCTAGCCAAAAACACAGTTTTTAGATCTATGCCAAAGATCATTCACACACAATGCGAGGTGGTATTCAGAATTCCGAAAACCTTTTCTCACTGTATCTCTACAGTAAATGGATAAGTTGGGCTTTTTCTTCAACACATACCTCAGTTTAAACCCCAAGGTTATTATTTATTTTTTCCCCTCTTAATACAATATCACCACTGTCCTGGGTGAGAATACACCTATCACAGCACATCACCCATTAGCTTAGAAGATTACAGTGGGGAAAGTTTCTTCGTAACGCTCTGATAGTGAAGTGAGGATCTGTAAATTAAACTGGGCCTCCCCTACCCAGCAGGACATTGAAGAAAGCTTTTAAAGCGACCCACCTTTAGTCTTTCCTTCTCACTAAACATGCCACTTTTGTGATAATATATTAATATTTTATACTTTAACTCACACCCACATAGGATATATTTTCTCTTGTCTCCAATAATCAAAGGAGAAAATTTCTTATGGATAAGGACTGTTATATAAATGTTTAAATATGCCTACTTTGTATTATTTTTCTGATTACAAAAGGAATACCACTTAATTGCTAAAAGTTAGAAACCATAAACTTTTTAAAGTAAATAACTCATTAAAAGCATTGTACACTTTAAGCCAGTGAATTGTATGGTATGCAAATTATATCCCAATGGAACTGTTCTTGAAAAAAATTTATTTGAAAGCCTATTGCCCTGTTATATGAAATTAGAATCTGCCACTAATTATCAGGGGCTTGTACCTTTCTTGAATTTTTTTCATACATCAAGATTTATAATGCCCATGATTCCAAATATGCAGGAAATTTTATAAGAAATTTATAAATGATGGGCCGGGCGCAGTGGCTCAAGCCTGTAATTCCAGCACTTTGGGAGGCCGAGGCGGGTGGATCACGAGGTCAAGAGATCGAGACCATCCTGGTCAACATGGTGAAACCCTGTCTCTACTAAAAATGCAAAAAATTAGCTGGTCATGGTGATGCGTGCCTGTAATCTCAGCTACTCAGGAAGCTGAGGCAGGAGAATTGCCTGAACCCAGGAGGCGGAGGTTGCAGTGAGCCGAGATCGCGCCATTGCACTCCAGCCTGAGCAACAAGAGCAAAACTCCATCTCAAAAAAAAAAAAAAAAAAAGAAATTTATAAATGATGATTGAATATTTATTGAGAATCCTCTTTACGCAATGCACCATACTAAGCACATCCAGCTTATCAGATCCGTAATTGACAGGTAACCCTTCCTGCCAGCAAGCAGTCTCCCAGGATTATCCAGCCAGTGATGGTAATCTGCGTGACCCGGACTGCACATGGCCAGCGTAACATCTCCATACAGACCATGCTCTTCTTTCAAGAAGAAAGATTAGAAAGCTGCCTCGGTGTGGCTGCCTAGATATAACTTTTGTGATTAAAAAGCATGTTGATTTCCTCATTGGCATTCTTGTATCCAATCTGGTGGGTAATCTAAATTGCAAGGAATATACTTTTTATCACTTATAAAAGCTTATTTCATTTTGAATTAAAAAAAAATAATGTGGCTCAAGAGCTTGTTATTTTGTAGAGTGGGCGTTCATGCCTCTGAGGCTGCCCACCAAGACCTCAACCTGGCTAGCACTCGGTTGCCTAAGGCAGAAGCAAGGAGTTTATTCCTTCCCTCTTTCACACATCCCCCATCCAATCAGTCACAAAGTCCTGCTGACTCTCCTCCCTAAATACCTTTCTGACTTGTCACCGCCCTTAAACTCCATTGCCACACCATTGTTCAGACCCTGGGGCCCGAAACACAAGTACAGAACAGCTGGTTCACCATCCTTCAGATCCACCGCATCACCACCAGGGGGCTCCTTGTAACATACAAATCGGGCGGGCGCAGTGGCTCACGCCTGTAATCCCAGCACTTTGGGAGGCTGAGGCCGGTAGATCTCCAGAGGTCAGGGGTTCGAGACCAGCCTGACCAACAAGGTGAAATCCCGTCTCTATTAAAAATAGAAAAATTAGCCAGGTGTGGTGGCAGGCGCCTGTAATCCCAGCTACTTGGGAGGCTGAGGCAGGAGAATCACTTTAACCTGGGAGGCAAAGGTTGCAATGAGCCAAGATCGTACCATTGCACTCCAGCCTGGGCGACAGAGCAAGACTCCGTCTCAAAATTAATTACTTAAATAAAATAAAATAAAAATTGGATATCAGTCCCTAAATAAAATACTGCAATAGCTCTCCATCAACCACAGGATAAAGTTAACTCCTCCCTGATCTAGTTACCTCTGCAAGGTCCCCTCCGACAAACTCTCCCCACTTCCACCCCTCACTCACCAAACTTCTTCCCAGCCACACATACTCAGCTGTACCATGTACTTACAGTTCCCTGCAGTGACATGTGCTTTCACACATTCATGCTTTTCCAACCACTGTCTTTTCAACCTGAGTGCTCCCACTACCTTCCCTGGTAACATCAAATTTACCATTCAAAACGTGGCTCAGGCAGGGCGCGGTGGCTCATGCCTGTAATCCCAACACTTTGGGAGGCTGAGGTGGGTGGATCACCTGAAGTCGGGAGATCAAGACAAGCCTGACCAACATGGTGAAACCCTGTCTCTACTAAAAATCCAAAATTAGCTGAGCGTGGTGGCATGTGCCTATAATTTTAGCTAATTGGGAGGCTGGGTCAGGAGAATCCATTGAACCCAGCAGGCAGAGGTTGCAGTAAGCCTAGGTCGCTCCACTGCACTCC